GGGGGGGGGGGGGGCAAAGCGATGTGAAAAAAAATAATATTCGTCACGCGGTCGTAATGTACTATGTCCTTGTGACTCGTGTATCATGTCCTTGTGACGCAAATAATTATTTTCGAATACGCACGCTCCACGTCCGCAAAATGCCACTTTTTGTGATATTCGGTGGTTTTTCCCTTAAATGTTGGTGATTTTAATGTTAGTCACCCTGAACGTCGCTATCGGCCGCTGACGACCCAACAAGATCTTCTTAATTCCCAATTCTCGGCACTTTTCTTCCTTGAGGAGGAAAAAATAAGATGTGAGGGTTAAATTACATGGGAGGGGAATGATATTCGTTGGAAACGATGATGTCTGTGCTCGCGGATAATGAGACAGATATAGATAGAGCGAGTGTGACCACCCCGAGGGAACGAAATATACGTAATACATATTTCATGATATTTCTCATGAAAAGTACCTCTAGAGATGCGAAATACTTGCTCCACCAGTCGTAGCTCTCGTCCCCGTCATTTCCATAATTCACATTCTCGTGTTTGCCATCCCTTTTATTATTGGGGATAAATGGCTTGAGTAGGGTCAAGAGTTTCCTTATTCCAGAGTGATTGTTCTCACTGGAAATCCTCTTATAACTTATCAAACCTTTCTTCTCGTCTTTCTCAGTATCGTAATCGATTGGAAGGGGAACTGAAAAGTTTCAGTGCTGATTTATCTGGGAAATTGGTAAGGGCTAATCAAATTTACAAACTACTGTGGGACTCTGCCTCTTCGATGATGAATTGTGCTCGCCGTAGATCTGAGAAATGTAATCCTCCTCGGGAATCATTTTTCTCAGGAATATATGAGCGGTGGGGATTATGTAGACGCCCGCGTATTTGAAGCATCCAAATCCGCGAGAATCGAATACTTTGATGGTTATTGGGGGATAGTAGATATCTTTCTCTGGTAAATCCTGGGGGGTGGAGACGAACAGAAGTCAATTTGACTCAGATACATCATGATATCAATACAAAACAATTGGCATTCGCCCCATTTTTCTTCTAACACTGTAAGCCCTCCCTTGATAGTCTCAGAAGGAAGAATTACAGAATAAATGAAGTAATAGTCAAGCGAAATTTCATTCTAGATATTTTTTACTTTTCATCGAGGGAAAAAAAACAGAAAGAGTGATGAATTTTTGTGGCTTGCTCTAGATAGTTTACGGACGATTTTTTCAAAAATTCCCGAGTGAATGAATGAAATTTCCAAGAACATCACGTTAAATCCGGAATGTTTTCCTCTATGAAATCAATCCCACCATACCAAGTCAATCATAAAATGATTCTCCTCAAAATTGCTGAACTTCTTCACATTGTCCATAACCTCAGACCTGACAAAAACTCCGCCGCACTCGAGCACAACCCTGGGCTTATTAACTTTGGTACAGTTGATCTTCCTCAAGTCCCTAACCCCCCAGAATATCACCTCCAGCCTGTGGCTCCTCATCGCAGGTCTCACATCGTCAGGTAAATTATAAATTTTCTCCTCCTCAGATGCATTCAATGGTACATCCACAACCTCGTCATCTCCAGTCTGAAGAGGTATGTAATTATTTTCAAGCTGTTCTAACCCACATTCGGAATATTACCGTATCTCTCAAAGGTAGAATCTCACCTCGATGAGTTCAAAGGCAGCGAGTATGCTGCCTTGAAAATCCCTCTGGGTCTTCAGCTTGTGCCATGCTAGAGTCGGTGGGAATTCAGGGGGTGAGTATGTTTCATCCTTCAGCTTTACAACTGGGGTGGCAATGCATCTGCCGCAGTACTCCTTCGAGCCCTGTTCAATTTCAAAGCCCCCGAGAATGATAAGAATGCGAAGATTCCTCGCTTTTCACCATTTTTTTTTGTCTTTTCACTCGGAAACTCACACATAAGTCCCAGTCAAACGCCTCCATCACTACTTTCGGGGGGCGATATTTGATGTCCTCAGTCGAGCCGTACAATTCGATAGGAGGAAGCACTAGAGTCTCATCCCACACGGGCGCAAGGCTTTGCTTAACGTACTGTGAAAACAAAATCTTCTGTCAAAAACCAGCGGAGGGAGGAAGAAGTGTTGATTGTCAGGAACATTTTTTTCTCTGTTGATATCCCTAAAAGATTACATCTAAATTCTAGTAAACGTGGTCCGTGTTGGCCTTTCAATTACAGTAAAAGTTAAAATATTGCAACAAGAAAGCGACTTCTCGAACAAAGCCAAATAGTTTTTAAAAAGTATTGAATAAATTGACTGAACTACACTGTTAAAAATTTTCGTCTGAATTTTCCATGCCAAATTCCGGAAGTTTTTATCGTGTTCAAGTTCCACTGAAAATTCAATCTACTTGTGAAACTTCCATCTCATTCCCACTGAAAACTCATAAATTTTGGTGGATTCAACTTGAAACGTCAAACGTCAGAACCATTTTTTCCTTAAATATGATTCAATGTTACTCTCATGAGATTTACTATCATATCTGCGATGAAATTTCGAAAAAATTCTAGCAGTGTAGACTTGATTTGAGAAACCACTTTCTTGTCATAAACAAATTATCCTCGTCTTTGGGACAAGTACACATTCTCTTGACGAAAGCATTTCCTTCTCACTGTAAGATATTTATTCTCGTCAGTTGTCGAGCCATGAGTTGGATAAAAATTACCTCGAAAATCGTGACAAATTTTACTACACGAATAGCAATTGTGGAGCAAAATGTAATGAAGTGAAAAAATACTGGTTTTTAGTGGATATCTTACTTGGTAAAAAAATTTAAAAAAACTTAGTAAAAAAATAAATGGATGCAAAAATCATCCGCCTGTTGAGAAAAATTTGAGAGATGCACGGAAGTGAGTTTTTACAAAACGGAACGGTAAAAATTATTCTCCGTTATAGAAAAATTATACGAAAAATTGGAGCAATTATTCACGTTCACTCCCTAACAGAAATTTTACAGTGTTAGTACAAATCACCCTCACGTGTAGTAAATTTTGCCGGGCCAACGGAGTAAAATTCACCATTAATCTCGCACTTTTTCTCCTATTCAAGGTGAAAAAATACTGGAAATCGAGTTTGCTCCAGGGTTACTTGACTTGTTTGGTAATTTTTCTCCAACTTTCTGCACCGTGTGAAGACATACTGATAAAAAATGTTGTTTTTTTCATTCAAGTACCTCATCACTTATATGATGATTCAATTTCACCCAGTTGTTTTGAAATTGATTCACAACTCATCACTAATTGGTAAAATGCGCATCGAAATTGCGAATCGATGCAGCAGTAATCATGATACATGCGGTATACAGCAATCATCTACTCTCTACCTCTTCACCGATAAAAAATAGTGATTTACCTTAGTGGTTGCAGTATATCCATGGAATATTACTCGAATTAATGGGTCCATCAAACCCGAGGAGTCCATTCCAGGATCGAAACGGCCTTGAAAAATGTGTGCGCGCAGCTGGAACTTCTGCATTAAAAATAAGGTTCCCCAGAATTTATGAATATATACTCCCCGGACTCTCTCAATATCAGTCATTGTTACTTAACCGATATAACGTTGTACTCCAAGATTCGAGGAAACGGTTCAGCACTCGTGATGCATTCAACATCATACCCGGAGGGGATTGAGCTCCAGCAGGCTGCGGAATACTTGGCATTACCGAGCCAAAGGAATATTTCTATCTTGCAGGCACTGTAGTCACTCAACTCTTCCTCGTCTCCACTACTCTTCATAAACAAATTGATTCGTTGTCCGCATTTTGAGCCACGGGACGTCTCATCCTCGGAATAAATAATTTCACAAGCGGATAAACGTGCCATTGCTACGCGCCGCGTGCCAGCAATCATCCAAATGAAAACATCCGGAAATGCATGCTGCGGCTGATCAATAAATTTTATCGTAAGTGTTGCGAATCGCCTATCGATAATCTTTTTCTCCCCCCAAGACAGCGAAATGACGTCACGCTGACTTGGAATTATGGTTAGTCAGGGTGAGATGAACATTTGAATTTATTAACGAATGGCACACGGTGTTGGAAAAAGATGGAAATTTCACTCGGAGAGAACAGTTGGATAAAAATCGAGGGGCTGGCCACTCCTCAATCGGGTGGCTCAGTGATTTGCAGAATGGGATAATTTCCTGTGATTTCTTGAATGATTTCTGTGATTTCCCAATAAGAATTGAAACTCATGATTTCTTTTGATTTTTCATGATTTCCATGATTTCACTGGGTTTCACTTTCATCGATGATTTTTAATTATTTCATAAATCCCCTGATTTCTTAATGACTTATACTAATTTCCGATAATTTGCAGAAGTCATTAGAAATCACTATCGGCAGTGGAAATCGCTCGATTTCCAATGATTTCTGGTGATTTCTTCCTTGATTTGCAATCGAGTGGTCAATGATTTCCCCAAGTGACCAGCCCCCTGATAAAAATTGCTTCGAAAATCGTGACAAATTTTACTATACGAATGATAATCGTGAAGCGAAATGTAATTCAGTGAAAAAATAGTGGTTTTTAGTGGGTATCTTACAATTTTCTCTGTAAAAAAATACATCTATGGATGCAAAAATTATCCTCCTATTTAGTAAAATTTCCCACACCGGCAGAGGATTGTTTGTTTTGCACCCCTCTGAAGGTCACGGAGACGGACAGAAGTGAATTTTACCAAACGGGTTCGGTAAAAGTCATTCTCCGTTACAGAAAAATTATACGAAAAATTGGAGCAATTATTCACGTTCACTGGGATAATTTTTGATGGGATATAGGGTAAATTTTACTGTTTCGATACAAATCATCATCACGTTTAGTAAATTTTCCCGGGTTAACGGAGTAAAATTTTTAAGTTTATTACAGGTCTCGTTGATATTTCCATGAAATTCTTAATTTTCAATCACGAAATTCCTTAAAATTTCAGTGAAACTAGAATGTCATGAGAATTTCCGTAAAGTTCCAAAAAATTTCAACAGTGTATGGGGATTGGTATCTTTTGAAGTGGCCTGAAAGTCGAACTATTACATATAATTTCAACCCCCGATTTTTTCATTAATTTCTAATTCTTCCCCATTTATTCCGTCCATAGAATCCCACGCAATCGAAAAAAATTGTTCTACCCTAAACTTGTGAATTTCAGCTGGCCATCTTTCCCAGACTTCCTCAAATTCAACATGAATCAATGATAACTTACGTCTTTAGAGATTTCCCGGAGTTTGTGCAGATATTTGTAAGCATGAATGACAGCCATTCTGAGGTAATTATTGTTGGCAAGCTGTCCATTGACTCTAATCATCCTGAGAATACTCTCGACACATTCCCGGCACAGATTAACCCGATGCCTGTCCAATTTCGTGGTGCCACCATCATCATCGTATTTCGCTGCATCCAATATGTGCAAATACTGCATACAGTAACGTTTCAACGACCCAATTATGCCATTATAAGCCTCATACGCTGTGCTGTTCTCAACAGCAATGAGCGACTCTAATTTCGCAAGCTCGTCCTCCTGCAAATTCCCCCTTTCATTAGTCTCAACATCTCTCTGCAATAAGTATCACCGGGAATAGCGGGCTAACCACACAGTGCAGAAACGAGCGAAGAAGGAGAAAATAATGAGTCAAGTTATTTGAATTGTGTGACAACTGGGTCAACCCCACTGGGCCATTGAAAAATGAAACTCATCACTTGTTTTTAATGACGGCAAATGATTAAATTATTACGGGCACCATATACTTCACGAGTTTCTTTATGAATTCGAGATAATACTGGCTAGAATAATCCCTGGAGATCATTTTGAAGACATTTCTCCACAAGTTCATTCGTGTTTCCGCCTTCTGTATCTTTTTCTTTTCACAGCGTAATGTCTCCCCAGCCAATGCTCGAAATTCATGCACCAGAAGAGAACGAATTATGGGAGAAAAAAAATTCAAATATCCTCGAGGTTCTTATCGTGGTTTTATTCAAATCCATGAGGGAATTGCCGCGCGAGCTTTTGTTTCAATTACTCGCTTTCATTCTTTTCTGGTGCATTTTCAGTGAAACGAACAGTTTTTGGTAATCCAAGTGCCGGCCTGCAGTTCCGTAAGGATCACACTGCAGATTTGGGGATTTTCAATTATCCAAATTTCCAATTGAATTGCGATAGAAGGATTTGTACAAATTACATTGTTCCATTTTTTTTTTCAAATCAATTCGTATAAATAAATTATACAAGTTGTTTAAAATTTCTTACACCAATTTGTTCTATCATAGGAGCGATTTTCAGGAGCTTTTTGTATATGAATTAATTTATTACGAATTAAGAAAAACTCCGTTTGAAATTCAATTATTTTACCAATTATTTTACAAGAAAAATAAGCAGGGGCCAGCGAGCATATGAGCATGTCACTTATACTGATTTAATGCTTTCTTCACCATCAATAAATTGATGGTATACTTTCGAATGGTTTCACCATAATAATTTTTTTTCACTCTTGGATATTTCTCCCCATTTTTGCAATTTGTGCCTTTCTCGCCCCCCGTCCAAACTCTTTCCAACCTCCGGTATCGCATTTGCTGAAGATTTGAGGAAAATCTAAGTTCGGGGAAAATCTGACCAGATAAAGTCATCCCTGCTGAGACTCCTAATTTACTTTCCGAAATTACATTAAATGAAACATTACACTAAATTAAAGAAAAACCGAAAAACGGAAATATTTCACAAGTTACAAGTTACAGTTTTTACAAGTTTGCGAGGAGAGGTATGCACATTTTGATTGATTAAGATAGAAGACATAGAGACGAATATTTTAAAAAGAAAGTTGAAATCGATTGGGTAGTTCCTGAATTTTCGTTGTTATCTACATAAAAATTACTGGACTGGAAGGGTAAAATTTATTATGCGTCAGGATAAAATTTCGCTTACGTAGAATAAAATTGGATCATCATATATTAATTTTAACTAAATTTCGGGATAGAAATTAAGAAACGATGACTCATGATACACTTTTATAGAACGGTGGGGTAATTTTCACGAGACATCACGAGACAATACTTCGAAGGAATTGTCTCGTTCTCAGTGAACAAAAAAACCGAGATTTTGCATTGAAAAATACGAAAAACTTGGGAGCGACATGAGATAAATTGACCCGGAGTCATCACACGGGGATTCAATACTGCGTATTTCGAGACTGACACGAGACCAAAGATTTCCATGTTCTTTGAGGTCGAGACCATCTCTCCAAAGTATAGTCTCGTGAAGTCTCTCGCGGCATCACTATTCGGGAGCAAAATGTTGAAGTACTTGGTTATTTTTCACGGGAAACAATTTCATTCAATCCCCAGCTGACTCACCAAAAAATTGACTATAAACATGAGACTGTTGGTGTTTGATACTCTCCATTCCAAGTTTGGCCACCAGGATTTTACGTACATACAGGGCTTACTCGATCCAAGTGGTAGGTAATTAAACTTGCCATCTGTCGTGGCCGTTAATCTTGATTCAGTGTGGCTCACAAAATCCACTCGCTGTTCGAGTATCACATCGTCTAGAATATAGCAAGAAGTAAATACTCCACATTACGTAGGCAGTGCTATAAATTCATAGGCGCAGGGAATAAAGTTTATGGAGATGTGTAGCTGCTGTGGTATGCGATAAAAGTAAGGGGCTGCGGTCATATATAAAAAAATGGGAGATGATAAGAGAGATTATGAAAAGGATTCCAGAATCCTGCGTTGAATTAACTCCGCCGGGAGCCTCGGCATTTCGCTCTTAAGTGCTTTTATTCCAAGTTTCACTCACATAAGCCAGATACTTTCCCCCAAATCCCAAGCCCATTTCCCAGAGTCTTGGGTCGAGATTATATCCCACGTCTGCTTACCGGTGCACAGGGTAGATACATTCTACATTCCCTTGTATATGTAACGAGACTCATCCCTCTATCGACGGAAATCCCTGGAGTAGTTAACTCCATTTGGGTCTGTAATAGATTTAAAACGCATGCTCACCTGCCAGTCCATCGCTGTTGGAAATGTTGTGGGGGAAAACACGACTGCCGGCATTTCCAAAATTAATCTCGAAACTCACTGACTTCATCAGAAATCTGCAGCGATCAATCATACATACGTCGTAAATTATACCCACTAGGAGGTACTCCTCCGTCGCCCAGAGAATCTTCTGCAATTGAGAAATCGACCGTATTTCGGTGAATTTCGGTGTTTTTAATAATTCACACGTAGATAAAATTTGGAGAAAAATTACTGTAGTGTTAAAAACTTTTGGATGAATTTTTTGGCACATTTTTCAGAAATTTTTATCACATGTTAATGCCACCGAATTCAGAATTTCAGGGAAAAATCAATAAAAACTGTAAATTTCAGTTCATTTAGTCTCTGAAAAGTAATAGAAGTCAGAAAAATTTGGATAAACATATTAATGACTTCTCAATTAATTAAAAATTGCGGAATTCCCAACTCAATGCCTAATTCAACCATGAATTTTTGAAATTTGCAATTTTTCAAAGATTTCACAATATAGGTCAATTTCTTTCATTATTTTTATTTCATTCCTTTTTTCGTTTTTTTTTTTTTTCATTAAGAAAATCAAACAAAAAAACTTAGAAAATTTGAGCCAGGAAACTCAACGGAAAATATCTCAATAAGTTGTATAGAAAAATCTAATTTTAATGAATGAAGGAAAGGCAATTGGTCGGGAAGTTATTGGTTTGATCGGTCATAGGTCACACCCAGTCCAACCCACTCGCAATGGGAGCGAGCGCAGCAAGCGACCAACAATCCAATCGAATTTTTAAATTTTGAATTACATTGAAGTTGTAAGGAAATCTGAAATTCAGTAAATTTATCTCCCACAATTTTGCTATCTGCCTTCGAGAAATAAATTATTTCGAGAAATTAATTGAAAACTGACTAATAGTGGAAATTAACTCAAAACATTTTACAGCTTCGCCACTGAAATCATTACTTTATTAAAGTTCACTCCTTAATTTTTCCTGACATATTCTCCATGACAATGAAAAAATTCTGAGGCACCCGAATTTGAATTCGGTCGGAATATTGTAATCATCAAATTTGAATAAACGGTGGCAGTGAAATAGTTGTGATTAATTATTGCCATGATCTTCGACATTTTAGATTACTGACGATTTGTGGAACCGGACGGGGGAATTTGAATAAACACTGTGATTATTATTCACTGGATCGTGAGTCTTTTCCAAAGCCTACCCCACTCCACGGCGCAGTGTGTCAGTGGTTTATACAGAATCGCGTGACCCTCTGTACTGGTGTCATTATTTCTCCTCAAGATAAGTGGTCTATTACGTTAATGCAATTATACGCTATGATATACTGAGCTCTTTGCCGAATGGAGTGAGAGGGTTCTGATGAGGAATACACCGGGGAGATGGGTGGGGAGTATTTCAATACTAATGATTCGTGGGGTTTTTCCTCGATGACAATCCAGAGGAGGGGTCTGTGCTTTTCCATGAATTTAATGTAATTTTCTAATGTGAGTACGGTAGAGGCTTCGTATATGATACCTTAGGGACAGTAGGAGAGTGGACTTCCGGGAACTCCTATGCCCCCACTATGCGCGCCCACAGAGACGAGGAAAATAGGGATCACAAGCAGAGAATTTTTTTACAAAAATTCTAATACGGGAAAGGAGGCGCAAAGTGACGCCAGGGAAAAATTCTAGTGCCGGCACCAGACATTTTATTGGGGAAAACGTGAATTTTTCCCCGCATTTCTGTAAAAATTTCACAGAAATCCCCAGATATTTTAATAGAAATACCAAGAAATTTTACCTTAACGGGACTAGAATTTTTCACAGCCGGTGGATTGTAATTTTTTTCAATATTCGTACTAGAATTTTTCTAGAAAATTTCTCTCCGTGGCAGTGGATTTCAAATAAGATCCCTCGCTCGTTGCGCCCGAAATCAATGAAATTGTCATTTTTATTGAATGAATATCGATAACTAATCAATTTATATGTGTTTAATGTTTTGAATTTGTATCGCTCGCGTTCCCTTTTTTCTCTAAACATAACCCCGCATGATAGAATGGCAGCTGGTGTTGGTGGATTGTTGGTGGACTCGAGAATAATCCGAGAGAAATGTTCAGTAAAAATTACGGAACTCACAGTTCGCTCACTGATTACGGAACCGACTCAGAAAATTTACGTGACGGTATCGTAATTTTTCACTGGAGATTCAGGTAAAAATTACGTCACAGTTCCGTCAAATTTTCTACAACCACATTGCGCTCCGGAATTACGGAAAAAATATGTAATTTTTATTGAACATTTCTCTCCGTGAAATTTCCAGATAAACAAATTGACAAAAAACTATCTAGATTACATTCGAAAGGTAATCCAATCGGGTCTTGAGTCAAAAACTATCCATTCTGTCCATCTCTAATTCTGAAAGAGATCACCTGGGTGGTATGGAATTAAATAAAACAATAATCCTCATAATATAATAATGAAATTATTCCTCCGATCGAGAATACAATTGACGACAAATTATTGATGGATTTATATAGTCAATGCGGGATTATCCGTTCCGATGAGATATCCCCGGCAAAAAATATATTCCATCGATTTCAATTTTACTTCCTCCACCATCCACTATATTATTCATTACAAAAATCCTTGGGGATTTGACGGTGCACGTGGCCGTCCCCAGGGTGTGTAATGAAGTCCAGTAAGCCGTTGAAAAATTGATGCAACTCATCGCATCACAGGGAATTGATTTGTCGTTATCGATAATTCCCCCGGTTTTTGTTGAAAATATTCCTTGCCTCCATAATTGGCGTAGCTGGCTCAACATCAACTCCAGCACCTCCAGACATCCCTGGATCATCAATTTCCGTCTTGAGCGAAAGAAGCACTCTGCCTCGATAAATGGGTCGTACAGTCTGACACTTGCCACGGCAACGGCACTCATCTCCACTCGCATCGTTGCCGTATAGGTGGATGAATGATGGGCCGTATGTTGGTAAAAATCCTGGAAACAACACGGAGAAAAAAATGGAAAAAAAATTACCGTGTAGCTCGGAAAAATGACTTCATTTTGACGAATCCGGAAAAAGTGACGTGTGATACCGGAGGTAAATTTTGTAGGATTTTGGAGGTAAATCCGAGAAAAATTCCTGTAACGCACGGTAAAAATTCCGATGCTGGCACGAGGATTTTTCCGGAGAGTTGAGTTTTCACAAGATTTTAATAGTTTATTGCCAATTTATACAAAAATAGGTGTTTCTCTCTTATTTACGTACCAAAAGGTCCGAAATTTTCACAGTTTACTCATTTCAGTGTTCAAAATCGAAATTTGGAGGTTCCAAACCCATGACGTTTTTTGTGGAATATCTCATATATAATATGTATTTTTGTTACTTTTTTCGCAAAATAACTCGAATGGTTTGAGTGCTCCAGATTAAAGAAAAAAAATTCAAAAGCTTGAACAACTTCAAGTAATCCTTTTTCATAAAGTTGATTGACAATGAATGATTGTTTTGATTGTTAACTTTTTATTCGGTTTGCGATCGGTTGATGGATCAATCAATGATTTCCATGACTACGAGGATGTTATTGTGCGTTATAGTGCTCACTTGACGTAGGTCGCGCGCGACAGCGCGCATGATTGCCTAGTTCTTTATGAAAAAAATTACGATTGAAGGCCTGAGTAGATTTTCTTTCGAACGTGATCTTGATTTTTTTTTTATTTTGATAATTTGAAATGATCTCCAGATGCTATTCAGTTTACATAGCCCTGAAGTCTCCAAAAATTACGATTGTACAATCAAAAAAACGTTAAAAAAAAAGCTGAACATTTTCAAAGAGCGTTTTTGAATAATATTGGGAAATAAACCCAATAGTGAGGAAATTGCAAATTAATAATTTGATGTATCTAATGGCTGTTAAGTCGTCATTTGTCACAGTAGTTAATGGCTGTCAGATCGTTAATTACCATGATAAATTATGTATTCACTCTTTCCTCTCTATCGGACTTATTTCTTAATCTTTATTAAAAATGCTCTTTGAAAATGTTCATTTTTTTATATTTTTATTTTTTTATTGTACAAGCATAATTTTTAGGAACTACTTGATAAAATCCAATGGAAAATGTGATATATTTAACATTATGAAGATGGAAAAACAATCGAGATAACGTTCGAAAGATAATCCACACTGATGGAAAGGATTAGTTATTGTTAACGAATGGATTTAGTTGGAGACGAGGGTCTATTTGGTTTCTTTTGGTTCATTCGTTAATAGTTAAGGAATCTCGTTTTGAATAAATAAATCAGTCTATAAGTGCACCTGGGCCTGAAAAAGAAATTATTTTGGAGCACGCAATTCAAATTCCGCAATGCAAGTGAAAAATTGGATGATCTAACAAAATCGTGGAATTCCGTTCAGTAACAAATCCGGAAAATCGCTAGGATATCCTCAAAGTGGAAAAAATTTTCCACTCATGGGTTTCCCCATCATCTGCATTTCAATTTTCTTCAGCGATTTCATTTCAACCAATTTTGCGGTACTACTTGATGCTCCACTATTCTTCCACTTTTATATGCAACAATTTTCGTTGAACGTGAGAAAGAAAAATGAAATGACTCACCGTATTCACCAGAATTTGATAGCCTAGCAAGGTTGAGCATGTGAGTGGCAAGTGCTGTGGAATTGCAGCCGTGAACTTTGTCTTTTACGGCAATTCTTACACGATGGGATAGCGGTGGAAACAGTTCCCGGAATACGATTCTCTCGTTGAAACGTGGAGTATACGTGCACTTGTAAGAGCTTGTCTCACCCTCGATAAGAAAGATTTATAAAAATGCATCGACTATCGTAGGAATTTGATCATAAAATTTTCACCTATTTCACGACAATTTAAAGTGAAGCTCTTAGAGAAAAATTGAATTTACATGGGAAGTTGAGTAGTAATTTTCAGAAGGGTGATATTGAATTCGATTTAAGGTTTTAGGCGAAAAAATTCATGAAATTTCAGATTTCTCTGATAGGGTAAACAGATCAATTTCTGGGGGTTAGTTTCTGGACGATTTCAACTTGGATTGAATATATCATAAATAGAATGAAAATCGTACTGATTATTCCACCTTTCAATAATATTATTCGTATATAATCATGTGATCAATTATTTTTTCTATTGATCGACATTTAATGAATGAAAAAGTATGGCCCAGTCGTCCAGAAATTAGGGGTTCCGGCTGCATTCAACTATTTCTTAATTTAATTATTCTTTGTTTTGTTATTTTCACTTCAAATAATTTTTTTCTGCTAATTAAAACATTCTTGAAGGTATGAAAGCCACCATATCCCCATTTAGGTGATTCTTTTATTTTAGACCTTACTACGAAACTCGAATTTCCCTTAGGCCCGGTTGCACCGAGCCCTGTTAGCTATTTTTACCCCAGGATAAATTTATCCGTCTGTAATCCCTACGGACTAACAGACCGTTATCTGGCGGTTTAGTTAACAGACGATGGTGCAACCGGGCCTTAACCATCCAGCAATTGGCCTGTTCACCCTAATTTCCTCAATTCTGATTTCGACTAAACAGAGCGCCGTATTCGGGGTCACGGGACACCTTCACATCAGTTTTATTTTGATAATTGTACAGTAGCCTATTAATTATTTTTCCTTCTGTGAATTGAATAAATTATCAGCTATGATACCCCAAGACCTTCAAAATTATCGGATATTTCCCGAATGTTTTGTTGCATAGCAACGAGAGGGATCAGTTTTGCAGACAGGGAAATAGCCGATGGATTTTGAAGGTCGAGGGACATTCGGAGGACAATTTCTTCAATTCTGATTTTGGCCGATCAGCGTGCAGTGTTCGGGGCTACGGGACACATTTCACCAAAATGTGAGGAATATCTGTCAAATTCGTAGGACACAATTGACAGGCTACAGGGAAATTATCAGACTAATAATTTCCCTGCAGCCGGGGAAATTATCGGTGTGAAACGTGTCACGTGACCTCGAATACCGCACTCTGATTGGTCAAAATCAGAATTGAGGAAATTGTCCTCCGAATACCCGTCGATCTTCATAATTCATCGGATATTTCCCGCAAACTTCCCTGCAAAGAAATGAGTGTGCCAAGTTTTCTGCAAAATTTTCGCCTGCAAAACTTAACACCTCCATTTGTTTGCAACTATAAGTATTATTGTGGATATTGCCGAAAATCTCAGGGCATGTCAATGTTTTTAGGACATTCTCAGCACATTTACAAATTGATGGAGAAATTCAACTCCTTGAATTTCTCAATTTTGGGCTGTTTTTTATGTACCCCACTGTGCCTCAGCCACCCCGCTTGGCTCGGTCTCCCCTACTGGAAATTGTAGCCAAAAATGTTTAACCGTGCTTATACATTAATTTCCAGATCATTCAATAATCGTTGATGAATAGAGATGAATAATTACAATGATATCAACTGGAATAAGATTGAATCGATCTGTCTGACACGGTTGGCAAGTCATGTCCGAAATATGCATGTGGCATACATCAGATCGAGGAATCGGCGGGGNGGGGGGGGGGGGGGTCGGTTTCTGACCGACGGAACGTGATATCGATCATTACAGGAAATACGTGTCGACAGATATTTATAGTTGAGAGTTAAAAAAAACACAACAACGTTATAAATCACTGCACAGTATCGAGCGTCGTTGATGCGAATGTGTTCGTAAAAAGACGAATTACTGATGGCTTTTTGATCTCTATATTCACGCTGAATTTACCTTCATGCCGGCAAATGATATTTGAACGTATGGATTCACCAGTTTTTTTGCATTTCCAATGCAAAACGTTGATTCTCTGCTTGGCAAACCATCTGCTCTGTATATCGTGAGAACATAACGAGCTCTTTGCCTGCTGGACGATAGAAAATTTCCAATGGGGAGGAGAAGATTCCTGAAAACGGATAGAGCTGTCAGTTTTTAATTCGCAATTTTCAGTTTTTCGGGAGATCAAAGAAAGTTATGGAGCTGTTCAACGGTGCATTGAGATGAAAAATGGCGGGTTTGTGTGGGCTTCCTTTGATTTAGAGGGATAAAACGGCAGTGGGTCGGATAGAGAGATAAAATGGAGACTTTTTACTTGTTTACTTCCGAGTGGAAGCTGAAAGTGGAAGTGGATGCCTAGTAATTGTACCTGGAAATGATGTCATGAAACGGGAAGATATGATGTTTTCGGAAGATGTGTGTATGTATATCCGTATATATGAGCGGATTTTTAGGAATTTTTGTTTCACCGAGAAAAGAAATTTTTGGTATCTGAAACGTAATTACTTGAGAGAAGTAATTATTCTTCAATGGCTTCATTCTCCTAGGCATCTCAACGCACAAGTCATGTGCGATGCAAAGCAATTTCGTCTATCGCAACTTACCCCTCAATATCATCGTCGCCATCAGTATCTGGATGGGCTCGCAGTCTCTCGCCCTTTGCATTAACAGATATGTTGCATTTTACGTAACCTTTGGGTTCTCCTGTTGAGTCCTTTGGGTTTGTTAGCATCGCCCATTTGTGGTAATATTCATGACCTAATATAAAACTCGATATATTTTTTTAAAATTAAAATTTGAAAATCAATCATCATAAATTGATGAATTCGATTGTTTTATAAAATTTCTTTTGCCCCTAAACTGTAATGTAAACAGAAAACAGAAATTTTCTGAAAATTAAGCAATAGTTGCACTTGAATTCTCAACGTTGTGAATTTGAATTCAATTTAAGATCCAATCGTTCATGGAATCGCTCCTTCAGGTTGGACATTCAGGATAATTGGGTTTTCCATGTTAGATTATCATTGATATTTCAATGACATCTACAATTTTCAAATTCATTGCAGAAATTGAACATAACATCCAACTAAATTTTCAGTGAATTAAAAATTCAAGGAAATTGTTGCTTGAATTTTCAAATTATTTAATCATTTTCATTATCATGTGGACCTGAAAATTGCAATTCCATTGAATACTGCAGAATTCAACTGATTTTTCAATAACAAAGTACATGAAAATTGGATATAAATGAGTGATTGTTCAAAATTTTAAGATTTTTTACTTGAAACTTTAGGAGTAATTTTCTAACAGTGTAAGGGCGCATAAATCGCATAGAACCCTGGACCAGAAATCGCATGAACCCCTGAAAACCACTGACATTAGTCTGAAAATTAGTCATGAAAATTGAAAATTGGTGACAAAATTTCTGAAGTTTCGAATTTTTGCAACGACTGAATTTCACAATCGTGAATCCCTATTGATTGGAGATAAATTTCCACATGATGTTTATATTTTCTCTGGGTAAGTCGCGACTGCCGATGAAGCAGAAAGAAGCCCGGCATTATGTTTCTGTTCTATCAACGGTTGCGCCAGTTACTTTGAACGACTGTAGGTAAGAGGCACCCCATCGGTCGAGCGAAATGTACCTCGTAACGTACATTTTTCAGTTGAAATTTCCCTCAACAGATGCTTTTACTATTCCACGAGTAGATCATCCCCATTCAAGACCCCAATAACCGCCAATTACCTCTTTATTACGGTGTTTTGGGAGGAAACCAAAGCAATGAAAAAAAAACAGTGAAAAATTTGTGGGGGAAATAAAAAAAGTTTCTAATTATGTTGCATTATTGGAAATTTTTTCGTATTTTTTGTAAATCTCAGCCTCATAAAAAAAAACCATGAAGTTTGTGTGTTTCTGTAACCCCCCCCTCCAGCGACCCACACCGCAGCTCCAAGGCCGAGGTTACCTAATTCTAAATCAGGGAAATTTTCAATCACCCAAGAAAATAATGAACAATTGAAAAAAAACTAATGTGATAAATCAAATCTTCCTTGAAAGTACACCGTTAAATATTTTCGTCTAAATTTTCCGAGTCAAATTCCGGAAATTTTTATCATGTTTAATTTTCTCTAAAATTTCAAGAAATCTTCTCATTGAAAAATAAAATATTCCATTGATTTTCTGTCCGAATGATCTGAAAATCATTAAAATACTTGATTTTTTAGTTCAATTATTCCATGAAAATTCGGAAAAATCGTGAAAATATAGGGAAAAATTCAAAATTCATGGCATTTTGTTTCTGAATATTAATGTTCCATTGAAAATTCAATCAAGTTGTGCAATTTCCGTCTCACTGCCACTGAAAACTCATGAATTTCTTTGAATTTTACCTAAAACTTGAAATTTCATACCCATTTTTCAATGTCACTCTCATGAAAATGACTACCATATTTTCCATGGAATTTCGAGAAATTTCTAACAGTCTAGGTATGAGTTCCCGAATTTTTCTAGATTTCACAAGAAAGTTATTTGAAAAAATAATACGGGAAATTAGGAATTCCGCGGCGAATTCTATTCATTGAGGCTCACGCGCGGCATTGCCATGTTTCCGATGGATTTTAATATTATTTCAAAAATTAGAAAAACATCTAATAATAATTTCGCACCGGTAAGTAATGAGAGGAAAATCACTCAATTTGACAAAAAAAATAATAGTCAAGACATGTTCAAATGCACACTGAAATAGATACGTGAACATTGAAAATTTTCGTGTTCGCGGATTGAATTGTGGCTCAAGAACAACGAACTTCAATTCCGCTTCACTTCCCCGGAGAAGTACAGACGAAACACCGTAATTACCTGGTTGATCCCAGACTGTCGCTACTTCAAAGAAAATTCCTCCATGAAACTTCAGTTGCCTCAGAGAGTTTCTCAAATACACTGATATTGATACTCTGGTACTGAGGAGAACTTCAAACTCACATGTGAAGTCGAACACGAAGTACTGCAACCAGAGCGGAATACATAAATGAAAGAAATGTGCAGACATACCTTGAGCTCCTAGCAATGAATTATTCAACTTTACATGATCAAAATATGGACAGTCGGTTCTGTCCCGGACAACAGTCTTTTTCTTCTGATTGCCCACCTTGACAACGACCATGGGGTTTGCATTCTGCACTAAATGTCTAGCCTCCAGAATAGTTATAGCCACCTGATAAGCTCCATACCTCCCCTTTTTTCTTCTATCAAACATAATCGATATGCGGACTGATTGTCATAACCTTTAGTATGGGAGTCACTGTCTTTTTCACGAAGTCTGCAGCTCACTTCAAATCTAAAAGATCTCGGAACCATGCTCTTTACAGTCCCCAGATAGGGGTGAATGGGGCGAAATATCTTCGTACATTTTACTATTTTACCGAATTCAGTAAAATTGTGAATTTCTAAATGGAGGAAAAAGTTGGAAAAACATTACCAGACAAGTCGAGTAATCGTGGAGCAACTCCGATTTCCAGTACTGTTTCAGCTTGAGGATATCCAAGTACTTTGGCTATTTTTTCTCCAGTGGAATGCTTTTCTACTTTTTCACTCGAACATCAGAGCTTTCATTTGAGCCCATTTCCCCCAGGGAAATAGAGAAATATCTGGCTATGCTGCATCATTGGAAATTTCTCGTAGGGTCTATTTCATTTGACCCTACGTTTCCGGACATTTTACAATGATTTTATTATTCAAACTTTGTATGTCTGCTTTTGAATCTCGATATTGAACCGTTAGAAAACATTAAAAATCGGAAAAAAAAATTTAAAAGCTTTTTTTGGAGGAAGATTGATGAAATAGTTTATAAACAATCAATTTTCCACCATAAAAATTATTTGTTCGGAATCGTAATTTTACTACAAATCCATTTCATGTCTAAAAAAATAAGGTTTTCGAAAGTTTAAAGGATTTAAATTTTTTAATTACAAACAACGAATGGTTAAATAAATGATAATTCTATACAAAATGTAATTTGAATGTCGCTGTATATTCATGATTTTTTTTAATTTTTTCTCATACAATTTAATTGATAAATCTGACGATTGAAAATGTGGTCACTACCAAACTATAAAAGATACTTAAACAGGAGAAAATGTGCGAGATTAATTTGAATTGATTGAATTTTATTCCGTTGGCCCGGGAAAATTTACTATCCGTGAGGATGATTTGTACCAAAACTGTAAAATTTACTTTGCTTCCCATCAAAAATTATCCCAATGAACGTGAATAGTCCACTTATTCACGAATGCATTCATTGAATGCTCCAATTTCCGTATAATTTTTCTGTAACGAAGAATGATTTTTACCGAACCCGTTTGGAAAATTTCACTTCCGTCCGTCCCCACGACTTTTAGACAGGTACAAAACAAACAATCCCCTACCGGTGTGGAAAATTTCACTAAACAGGAGCAGTACTTTTCCGGGCACTGCGATGGGGGCCTTCGGCTCGAACGCCAACGCCACGCGAGTAAAAAACCCCATCGCAACAGCCCGGGACAAGATTTTTTTGTACTGATTTTCAAGTTTTCCAGTTTGGGAAGTATGTAATACCAATTCCCAGACGAGAAATCGTGAGAAGCAGTACAGAAAAATAATTTTTGCATCCATAGATATATTTTTTTACCGAGAAAATCGTAAGATATCTACTAAAAACCATTATTTTTTTAACAGACTTACATTTCGCCCTATTTTCTCTCAAAATTTCGGTGGAGCTGTTACTCCATAAAAATTTCCAATAATCTTACCGGAAATTTGTCACTTCTATCTTCATGGAAAAAGTATATTCCGATAAATATGACTATTTCAAAAACATAATTGAACAAATGGGAATTATCTTAGTTTGCAACTTGGCCACAGATTCATCCTTCTTCCATATTTCATGACTCTTTCTAAAAAAAAACATGCAAAACTCCAATCGGAATTCTCCCATCCTCAAGAGGTGGATAGCTGTGCAGAAACTCCACCAATGTCAGCCACAATACGCTGAAATCCAAAGAGGCGAAGAAATCTTACGACGTCTCTGGATTTATTTCACCAATTTGTTGAGACGGGTGCGCAGGTGCGAGCACACGTTTCTACCATTCTCCATTCGACTTTTACACTCGGATCGATTTCGATGGTATGTCTAAATTGGTCCTGCCTGCCGGGGCCACCGCATCTAGATCCGCCGAAAATTTCACGGGGGAGCTGAGAAAAGGTGCTGGCTCCCCGACGATCGTATTTCGGATTACGTTGACAAAACATAATTTTTTTCTTTACCAAACAACGGTAACTTCTCTCTTATCTTTTCTCTCTTTATTCTTCCCTCATGTTGAATCATAATATTTTTGATGGGACTCTTGACGCACCAACACAAAAGGCTGAAGTGTCTGGTGGTCTTGTATTACCAGTGGGGTGAGGGTTTATTCGGAGTTGACAGCCGCAAGTGTTGAGCTTCTCATGTCAATCGCTTCGATGAGTACACAAAAATACATGCCACATGTTTCCCGATGTGTATCTTCAGATTATGCCTCGGGTCGGTAATAGTTTGTTCTTTCCTACATTATGTATCCCATTATTTATTTTATTATGTAATAAGTTAGTGAAAAGTTAATCAGAATCCTCGTAGAGAATTTCTGTCTCAAACAAAAAAAAATCTTCGTCTTAAATAATTCTTGATTTAAGGTATTTACCGCGGGGCGGGTATGTAGGGGGTGAGACGAAGGGGAATAAAAAAAAACGATATTTCAATTACAAATTATCAATATAATTCGATCATTTTTGTGTTCGAAATATTTTTTGATAACTTTTCTATTCTTTTCCACATATGTCAAGCCTTTTTTGATTTTTCTAGCTTGTCTTTTGGATAATTGGAGAATAATTAATATGGATAGAAAAAGTGACAACGTCGTGCCGTTCGAGGTACAAGTTGGCAGCCCTGATTCACTCAGCTGTTGTGTTCCTTCCCATAGCGAAATGTATCATCACAACTCCATTCGTATTTGCCAAGCTTACCTCTCCACAATTGTTACGCACGCAGAATTTCTATTTTTCACGAGTTTTTTAATTATCCATTCTAAACAATTCTCGTAGGCCACGTGGATTACTTTTTTTATATTCCTCCATGAAAGCTCTACCCAAGTGCGAAATTTCAGGAAAATGGCGACTTTTTTTATATTTTTAATATTTTTTTTCCGAATTCCCATGAGAGTCCGTATTAAAATGCATTCTTTACAAAAAATCCTGTGTTTCACGCACTCTCCTAGTCAATCTGGGATTTTGCATAAGGGTTTTGAAAAAATCAAAGAATGTATAAAAAGAAAATCATCAATTTGTTTACTTTTTTTCGACCCCGCCCCGCTGATCACGCCATAAATACCTTGAGGATAATTTTCCCCGTAAATACAGTCTTGAACTTTTGCCTGTTTGAAAATAGTGATGCCGCGAGACGAGATGATTTAGTTCTCAATGAACACGGAAATCATTGCTCTCGTCTCAGTATCGAAATACGCAGTATCGACTCCTCTCGTGATGACTCCGAGTCAATTTATCTCATCTCGCTCCCAAGTGTTTCGTATTTTTAATATAAAATCTCGGTTTTTGTCTCAGTTTGTCTCGTCTCGGTTTTCTACATATAAAAAACGCGAAAAACCGGAAACCGAGACGCAATAAATTGACTCGGAGTCATCACGAGAGGAGTAGATATTGCGCATTTTGAGACTGAGACAAGACCAAAGATTTCCATGTTCATTGAAACCGAGATCCTCTCTCCCAATTTTTGTCTCGTGATGTCTCATGAAATGTCTCGCGGCACCACTACTTGAAAATGCAGCTAATTTTGGTACTGAATGTTCATGTTGATCGAAAATTCAAGTGATTTATGACATTTTCATTTCATTCCTCCATCAACTACTTGAATTCATTCGGAGTCCCCGACCATTTCCCTCTAAATCCAATTCAATATTACCTCTCAAAACGACTGCTAGACTCTCCCAGGAATTCCCATTGATTTTTTTTTTATTCCAGTACTCAAGTTAGAATTCCACATTATGGACAGATGTTATCATCCCTCCAAGTCGTTTAATCGTAAGAATCTCCCCCTGATATAAATCGGATATTAAACAGTCAAATGGAATTTCTCAGTGGTTATTTTTCGAACTACGTGACTCGAGGAAAACTAATCGTTGTGCATGCGAACACCGGGGAGTTGAAGAAAACGCCGAAAGAGAGCCATAAGAGATCCGCTATCGCCCTCCACCTCCCTCTGTCATACTATGAGACATGACTGTCTTTTCAGGGCCTCGTTTTATTTATAAACATTGTGGTGAACCGAGTCGGTGAAATATATAAGGTATGAAGCCAAGATGAAGCCTGAAAACGCACGCGGAATGCATCGCACCGTAACGTCGGTAGCTGGCATTCTTCGGGTGAAATAAATCGGCGCATTTAAAGAATTTACGAAGTAGTATTCCACTGGCGTTTTGCGCCCGTTAGTCGCCGTATAAGTTACACCCATCACTCACTAATCTACCCTGTCTCGGTGGATTGATAATCCTGTTCTCCATTTGGGTGGTTAAAAAATTGGATGATATTGCAACTGCATTCCCGCGATATTATGTGAGAAGAAAAAGAAATTCGAGGGGTAGGGGGTCATAAATTCATCGGAATTGGAGGGAAAATAATGTTTCCACGTTTTTTTACGGGTTTTTGTGGCTTATTTTTTCGGGTTGTCGAGGTGAATGGGGGGGGGGGATTGGTGTCAATGGTTGGACGGTCATTAATAGCGTGTCAGCGGGTGAAACCTTCCACGCTTTTAGTCTGTCTCCCTTCGCACTGTTGGGGGCATTCGAGGGAGGGCGAGTCCAATGGCACGGAAATGGCAGACTATCCAGAAACTATTATCCATAAATATGCGGTCCATTTAGACACGTGTCTTCACAAGTGGGGAATTATCATCGGTTGGCTTTAGAGAGGTGAATTGGAAAAACCTTGACAAAGGTTTTTTTTGTAAAGATAACGAACCTGAGGAGCACGATAATAAGCACATTTAGTGTTGAATATTTTTGGAAAAAAATATCGTGTTCGATTTTAGGACTTTGCGGGCAAGGGGTATTTCCACTTAAAGTCTAAGTAATGGCATGAGCGCTGAAAAAAAAAGTTTTGATTTTCAGGGATATGTCACTGGTTTTCCGGAATCTATTACTAATTATTGGTGATACTGGACACTGACTAGAA